AGAATGAATACAATAAAAGCCAAATAAACAAAATATAATGTTTTATAGAATATCAGAAGTACGAATTTCCAATAAAATATAAAATACATATAAACGTAAGAATTAAAGCAAAATGTCGAATAAAAGAGGGCCTGACGCTCCAAAGACAGCGTTCAAATATACTATAGACTGCTGTTATAATAAAAATAGGTCTATGTTTGTCTGTTTACTTCCAAGAATTGCCTACATTAAATGTGTTAAATTCTTTATTGCCATCAAGTCTTATTTTCGAAGGAATATATTTTGCATTTTCGCGCATTTTCACATCATGTCTTTTGGATAATTCCAGTTAAAAACAGCATTGTTCATTTGGGGAAATTAGTTTCCATCCCTCTTCTTAGATCAGCTCACGTTCTACTTTCTTATGTAGGAATATCATAGTATTTGTATCGCACATTCAGGCTCTTCCACCGAGGCCAAAGCAAGGTGCATGGATCTGAGCAGTTGTTATTTTTACCCTGACCGATGACCTCTCTGTGAGGAATGAATCTGCTCCGTTACTTATGAGCGCTGAGTGATTACGAATCTCCCAGAAGATTAAGAGACTCAAATCCCCGTGCAGTGCGTCGTAATTAAAGATGGACAGAACAGTGGCAACTGTGCACTGAGGAGAAATACAATGGCTAAATGATAGAGAAATAACACTAACCCTATCTCAATCTTTACTTATTTATAGAGCACATTTAAAACAGCCTCAGTACCAAAGTGCTGTACAGGGAACAAATACAATATAAAATAACACGATGGAAGTAAAATAATAATAGACAATAATTAAAAACACGATAAAAAGCACTAGAAACATATAAAACACATACAAATGTAAACATGTTTTGTTCAACTGGTATTAAAAGCCAGTGCAAAGAGGTGAGTTTTTAGCAGAGATTTAAAAAGCAACAGGGAGGTGGGGGGTTGGGTTTTGAAGAGCGGAGCGAGACACAAAGAGGCGTCTTGGTTGGTAAGAAAGAAACAATAAAAGATTGCACAATCACTACTTCCTTCTGTTTTGACCACCGTAGAAGACCTCCCCCCAAAAAGACCTCTGTTAGTAATTTGCCAACCAAAGGGTGGAGTTTACCAGCGATAACGTCCCTCTCTTGTATACATCAACAAGTCGTGTATTTGTGCAAAATAAACAGATTGCACAAAAAACACATCACGACTTCCTTTTGTCTCGACCCCCGTGGATGAACTCACCAAAAGGGCTGGGTTTGTCATAGGGTGGAGTTTAACAACGATAACGTCCCCCGTCCAATAATAAGAACAGTGTCTTTTAGCCTGAATTCAAAGCCATGATTTGCTAAACCATCCTCAACGTAAGATAGAACGTCTTTGCTTCCACTTCTGGTCTTTCTGCGTGATTATCGTACGTATTGTTATGAATATTTTGAAGCATTTGCATTAGAAAAGCGGTAAAGAAACGACCATGATTTGATAGTTTGCCAACCAATGGGTGGAGTTACCGAAGATAATGTCCACAAAACAAAATGTTTTGAATAAATAAAAGTGTATTTTTAGTTTGGGACAAATGAATAGAAAGCAGTGGTTGTAATCTGTGTACACCTACTGGTCTTTCTGCGTGATTATCGTACATATTTTGAAGTATTGCATTAAAAAAGCTATATAGAAACATGAGTAGCTCAATTGTGGGATAAAAGCAGGCAGTTTAAATCCATGTAAAGCGTATCTTATATCGCCAAGTGTTGATAATTTGCCAGCCAAAGGGTGGAGTTCACCAAAGATGTTACCGACTCCAATAAGAATAGTTTCTTTTATAGTCTGGGAGCACTGATTATAGGGCAGTGGTTGTAATCAGTGTATCTCTGGTCTTTCCTCATGATTCTCTTACGTTGTTTGCATTAGAAAAGCTATTTAAAAACAGGGTTTAGCACAATTGTGGGATTTAACGTTTTGCCACTGTTTGCTGGCAGTCTAAATCAATGTAAAGCGTAACTTATATCGCAATTGTTTGGATAATTTGCCAATATTTTGAAGTATTGAATTAAAAAAACTGTATCAAAAAGCCGTGATTTGCTAAACCTTCCTCAATTGTGAGATACAACGTTTTTCTGGCAACTTATATCTTAATGTTGTGGATAAGTTGCCAAAGGGTGGAGTTCACCAACGATGTTACCGACTCCAATAAGAACAGTTTCTTTCATAGTCTGGGAGCACTGATTATGAAGCAGCGGTTGTAATCAGTGCATCATTGGGGTCCCCACCCTTTCCTGAGAGTACCACTGCTGCTTCTCTTTTTACGTGACCTGTCTGGTTGGCTGGGGAGCACGCTCACTTTCAGCCCACAGACAAAGTGCTTTCAAAGGGAAATGGTCTTGTCTCTACACAAAAAAACCAGCCCCTTTTAACCTCCCCTCCCTCACCCCGTCTGCCCTTTTCAGCCTCTCTTTTCTCCCCTTTCACACTTACAGACACGCGACGGTCACTCCCTTGTCTGCTGTCCGTCAGCGTCGTTGGCCTATCACTAAAAAAAGAGGGGTTTCTCCCCCTTTTTTTTGGGGAGATCATTAATCATCCAGTGTAGGACAGGAGGCCCCTTAATCCAGCTCTCCTCCCCCTCCCCCACACCCTCCACCACTATCCCCCATGGTGTTATCAAGTTTCAGAGGTTGTAACTGTAGCACAATAAACAGTGGAGGAAGGTGGAGGAAGGGGGATGGAGACAGAGAGACAAGAGAGGACAAAATGTCATTTCCTCACTACGTTTTATTGGTGGAGGTAAACGCGCCTCCAAAAGTGCATCCATTTGGAGGATTGGCTCTTAAATCAGTCATAGCAGTTGGAAAGATGTGCAGCTATAGGCAGAAAAAGCGGGATAATTGGATAAAGTTGCTCCTAATTGGAAATTAAAACCATTACAGTCTTCTTTAAATAAATCTGCAACAGCATCCAAAATGGACAAATGTGCTCTCAATGCCCATTTCCTAGATTTTCAAAACTGCATCCATTTGGAGAATTGGCTTTTAATGAGCGGGATAGTTGGAATAAGTTGCACCTATTTGGACATTAAAATCATTACAGTCTACCACGAATACATCTGCAATCCGACAGCATGCAAGATGGACAAATGTGCTCAAAATGCCAAGTGTTGGATGGAGACAAGAGAGACAAGAGAGACAAGAGAGACAAGAGAGACAAGAGAGACAAGAGAGACAAGAGAGACAAGAGAGGACAAAACGTCATTTCCTCTCTACGTTTTATTGGTGGAGGTAAACACGCCTAAAAAGCTGCATCCATTCGGAGAACTAGCTGTTTAATGAGCGGGATATTTGGATAAAGTTGCACCTAATTGGAAATTAAAACCATTACAGTCTACTTCAATTAAATCGGCAATCCAACAGTATCCAAAATGGACAAAATGTAATCTAATGACTACGTTTTATTGCCGCATTCGGAGTTGAACACGCCTCCAAAACAGTGTCCATTTGGAGAATTGGCTCTTCAAGGAGTCGGAACACTTGGACAAAGTTGCTCCTGATTGGACATTAAAACCATTAATGTCTACCTCAATTAAATCTGCAATCCAACCACATGCAAAATGGACAAATGTGCTCAAAATGCAAAGTGCTGGATGGAGATAGGAGAGGACAAAATGTAATTTCCGCTACGTTTTATTGGTGGAGTTGAACACGCCTCCAAAACGGCATCCATTTGGAGAATTGGCTCATTAAGAGTTGGAATAAGTTGCACCTAATTGGAGTTAAAAACCATTACCAGTCCACCTCGAATAAACCTGCAATCCAACCAAATGGTCCGATGTGTTCACCAGTGTGTTCTGCTGTTGACACACCCAGCTGCTGCCCCTTTTCCAGAACTTGTGGGGTGTTAACTAAAGGGAAAATGAGGCTGTATCAAAGCGCCAGAGAATGTTCCTATTGTAGTGTGCTGTTTGTACAGAGGTCCCGCCTGTTATAGGGCAGTGTGAGGCTGACCGGGGGAGTAATATAATGCATACATGGATCCCCCAGAGCCCATTCATGCTGTAATTGGTGCGGACAGAGCTCTGGGTCTCAGGGTTACAGTCAGGGAACTTCCTCTAATGCCCTGCTGGGAGGCCACTCTTCCCACCACGCAAAAACATACCCAGCTTACAGCGGAAACACTGGAACGCTGACTTTAATTAAAAGTATTATTATGTCAACAAATGTCACTTAGCAGAGCGAATGTATTTGCTCCAAAACCAACACTTAAAAAGGCACCACATTTCAATTAGACATTAAAACCATTACCGTCTACCTCAATTAATCTGCAGCCCAGTTGGATAAAGTCGCTCCTAATTGGACATTAAAACCATGACAGTGTTCTATAAATAAATCTGCTATCCCACAGCATGCAAGATGGACAAATGTGCTCAAAATGCCAAGTGTTGGATGGAGAGAGAGGACAAAATGTAATTTCCTCACTACGTTTTAATGGTGGAGGTAAACACGCCTCTAAAAGTGCATCCATTTGGAGGATTGGCTCCTTAATGAGCGGATAGTTGGAATAAATTGCACCTAATTGGAGATTAAAACCATTACAGTCCACCTTAACAAATGTCACTTCTTAGCAGAGCGTATTTGCTCCAAAACCAACACTTAAAAAGCACCAACTGTCTTTTTCTTCCCGTCTGCTTTGCTTAAACGCCCCTTGACAATTGAATGGAAACCCGTCTCCTGGAGATTCATTGGGACAAACAGAGCGGAGATTCTTCCAGGAGGTTTAACTGCGAGCTGCAGCTTAATGAGACTTCCTCATGATAATCGTTATCTCCACTTCCCTCCTTCTCCTTCCACTAATTCTGCACATCTCCATCAAGACCACTGCACCTTAATGGCAGAGACTAGGCCGGCTTTACCACTTTATTACCATTAACAGACTTAAAGCTACTACGGAGGGATTTCCCCCTGAAATAGCTTCTAAAGCAGCGATTGAACACCATGTGGTCCCTCTTAAGCTGAATCTACTCTCGGTGTCACACTGAGATGGGTCCAGGCTTTTCTTGACGGCAACGTGTGCGGTTTTGTTCAGGTCCATGGAGCTAAGACACTTGTCTTTAACCCCCCTTTCTCTCGATGGATTCCACTGAACAGGAGCCTCTGTTTTCTGGCTCTGTCCATCACAGCCTGAGGCCATTAATCATCTCAAGTGGACAGCGCTGACAGGCAGTTGGCTGCATCACTCTTTATTTTCTTCTTGTCTTTATTCGCCCGTATAACCTCACCCACTGCTTTCCCCAAAACCCCCATCAACACCAAACGAGAGGATGGGGGTTTTCTGCTACGTTTTATTGGAGCATTCTGAGTTTAACACGCCTCCAAAACTGCATCCATTTGGAGAATTGGCTCTTAAATTTGTCATAATAGTTGGAAAAATGTGCACCTATAGAGGAAAGAAACCATTACTGCCTTCTATAAATAAATCTGCAACCCAACAGCATGCAAGATGGACACATGTGCTGAGTGTTGGATGGAGACAAAGACAACAGAGGACAAAATGTAATTTCCTAACTACGTTTTATTGGTAAACGCGCCTCCAAAAATGCATCCATTTGGAGAATTGGCTCAGGATAGTTGGAATAAGTTGCACCTATAGGAGACCCACTGCTTCCCCCCAACCCCCCAACCCCCCAACACCCCAACACCCCCATCATCACCAAACGAGAGAGTGTCCGGGTGTCAAGCTAAAACAAACATTGGCCCATCTGCTGAATCAAAACGTTGGCGGTGGGTTAAAGGCGTCAAAGCTTTTTTTCTCGGAGGGCGTGAGACAGCTAAACCCAGTAATGGAGATGATGGTGCAATGAAGGATAATAATCTCCAGCGTCACTATTGCGAGGAACAAGATGCATTTACATTGATTTTACAAGCCCCCAAAACCCACCTCTTTTAGCTTTTTTATTTATAGTTTGAGTTTCTCCTTTCTCATATTCAATTCAATCAATTTGTTTTACTTTTTATTTTAAATATCCAGAATATTTTATATTGTTTTGATTATATTTGCTATTATATTTTTCATTTTATTTGTAATTGTTCATTCTCTTTTCCACATTTTAAAGTATTTTAAGTATTGCATTTTAATGTCTGAACACACTTCTGCGACTTGGATCCATCTATCCATCTATCCATATATCTATCCATCCATCTATCCATCTATCTATCCATCTATCTATCCATCCATCTATCCATCTATCCATCTATCCATCCATCTATCTATCCATCCATCTATCCATCCTTCTATCCATCCATCCATCCATCTATCCATCCATCTATCCATCTATCTATCCATCCATCTATCTATCCATCCATCTATCCATCCATCTATCCATCTATCCATCTATCCATCTATCCATCCATCTATCCATCCATCTATCCATCTATCTATCCATCCATCTATCTATCCATCTATCTATCCATCCATCTATCTATCCATCCATCTATCCATCTATCCATCCATCTATCCATCCATCTATCCATCTATCTATCCATCCATCTATCTATCCATCCATCTATCCATCCATCTATCCATCTATCCATCTATCCATCTATCCATCCATCTATCCATCCATCTATCCATCTATCTATCCATCCATCTATCTATCCATCCATCTATCTATCCATCCATCCATCCATCTATCCATCCATCTATCCATCCATCCATCCATCCATCTATCCATCTATCTATCCATCCATCTATCTATCCATCTATCTATCCATCCATCTATCCATCTATCTATCCATCCATCTATCCATCTATCCATCCATCTATCCATCTATCCATCCATCTATCCATCCATCCATCCATCCATCCTCCATCTATCCATCCATCTATCCATCTATCTATCCATCCATCCATCCATCTATCCATCCATCTATCCATCCATCTATCCATCCATCTATCCATCTATCTATCCATCCATCTATCTATCTATCCATCTATCTATCCATCCATCTATCCATCTATCTATCCCTCCATCTATCCATCTATCCATCCATCTATCCATCTATCCATCCATCTATCCATCTATCCATCCATCTTCCCATCTATCCATTCTCTATCTATCCATCCATCTATCCATCTATCTATACATCTATCCATCCAATCTTCCATCCTATCCATCTATCCATCTATCCATCTATCATCTATCTATCCATCTATCCATCTATCTATCCATCTATCCATCTATCTATCCATCTATCCATCTATCCATCTATCCATCTATCCATCTATCCATCCATATATATGTGTTGTATAAGTGTCTTTGAGTACTGATAAATAACTGTATTAGCTTCTGATCTGTCATAGAATTCACTTCAAAATACTCCTACTGGTTTGTAAAGCACCGCATGGTTTATTATGATCTCCTGCTTCATCATGAACCACCCAGACCTCTCAGGTCTTCTGGTCTGCTTTCTGTCCCCAGAGTAAAACATGGAGAAGTTCAGTTATTATGCTCCAAATATCTGGAACGAACTCCCAGAAACCTGCAGGTCCGCTGCAACTCTTACGACGTTTCTTTTACGGTTGCTGTTTTCAAATATCTAATCATATCTCACTTTGATTTACTTTGTATTTGCTTTTTGATGACTTTAATGTGTTTCTTTTGCACCACATCTTAATGCTTTTCCTGTTTTCATTTAATGTAATCGCCTCGTGTTGAAACCTCTCCCAGCAGCAAATAAAGCCAGGTTCTCCAGCAGCATAAAGCTCCTTTTTTAGGGGGTAAACGTTGAATGTGAAAGGGGCCCAGCAATGAATGTTGGAGGAGTTGACCCAAAGAAAAACAAGAGCCAAGTAAATGAAGGTGGGGAGAGGATTTGTATGCGTGTCTTCTGCCATTTCTGTGATTCACAGCCCATCAATGGGCCCCTTTACGCACAGACAGGCTTTAGGACAGCTGCTAAAATTCCTCAACCATTAACACACACACACACACACACACACACACACACACACACACACACACACACACATAACACACACACACACACCACACACACACACACACACACACACACACACACACACAACACACACACACACAACACACAACACACACACACACACACACACACACACATCACACACACACACACACACACACACACACACACCACACACACACACACACACACACACACACACACACACACACACACACACACACACACACACACACACACACACACACACACACACACACACACACACACACACACACACACACACACACACACACACACACACACACGTGCCTGTTTTTAAGCGCGGAGGCAGGAAATGGGAATCCCTCGTAAGTTTTCCTTCCGCTGTTGCTTTCCTCTCAAGGCCTGGAGGCCCCACGATGAGGTGGGAAAAGCACTTCACCATTTGTCCCCCTCTCCAACCAATCTGCTCCACAGAAAGAGGAGGTGTTTTTAAAACCGTTCTGCTTTTAAGATCAGGCAAATGAAGAGGTTTGCATTTCCCATTTCACCACTTGGTATTCCCAGCTTCTTCCACATGAGGGGTTGAAGGGCTGAAGACTTTCTTTTTGCAGCTACTTTTAATTGAACTATTCACATCTTACACTGCACTGTAACTTGTATTAATGTACCTGTGTTATTCTTGTTATATTATCTTTGCTTTTTAATGTTTCTAATGTGTTTTATGCTCTTAATGTCTTTTCATTTTTGTAAAGCACTTTGAATTGACTTGTGTTGAAAAGTGCAAAGAAGAGGAAGGAGGAGATGGTAATTAGAGGGTGCCATTAACAAGATCTTAGCCAGCCTTGCTCTTCCATCTCTTGGCACTCAGAGACAAAATGGGAATCCAACCGAGCAATTTGTTCCCTGCGATTAAGATTCGAGAGACAGCCGAGGTCAGCCAAGTGCCTCTTGCATTAAGGGAGGGGCGAAAGACTCACTTAAAGGTGGTGGAAATGATACCTTACCCTCCCACAAGATGGTATATCAGGTAGAGAAAAGTCAAATCTCGCATATATGACACATGGCAGTTTCATTTTCACCTTTCCAGTAATAACTACAGGGATGTTGTCTTTTTCCCGTGCTCTTTTGCCCGAATTAAAACCCCCTTTTTCCATCTCTCACCGTACTATTTTTCCTTTTGCCTCGCACTCGTCCATTATAGATGCACTCACTGGAGATAAGGTAATATGTGTTACTGGTCACATGTAGTGATGATGATACTTGATCCATGCAAGCCGATTCCACTCAGTGTAATTCGCTCTGGAAACTTAATTTAGCTAAGTTAAGCAAATACAAAGGACAAAAGTTCTAACCAGGTGTTTGTGTTTGCTTTGCTTTGGGGTAATATGCATTTTTGTATTTTAGGGCTCTAATATGCAAGTTAATTATTTTTCCTTTTGCATTTTTCCATCTGTATCTGTACTTTAATGTCTCCACTGTGGGAGGAATAAAGGCTTTCCTGATACAAATAATGTAAGCACGGTACGATATGAAAATATGCTCTTAATTGCCATAAACAAATATGATTCACAATATAAAACTAAAAACCATCAAATATGCTTGAAACTTTTGCATTTGTCTCAAAACATACTGGATTCACTTTCTTTCTTTCTTACTTCATACTTAACACTTATTGTTTAGAAATACACTAAGAAATGTACTTAATACATGTTAAACATGCTTTTATTTCTAAAAAAAATATCAACAAACAAGCGTACAATCTTACATAAGGTCATCAATAATCCTAACGTCACCGTGGATCAATAAAA